ATATATAAGAAAATATATGGTGGATGCATGTGCATGGTAACAATAATGAAAAAGATAACGGAAGTTATAACGGTAGAGGTATTTTTGTCTAAAAATTTATATAGTGCAACTCTAAAAGCATAATGTACAAAATGATTAACATTAAAAACATGGACATAAATGAGGGATATAACTTTGATTGAGACTTATTATTATTATTATTATTATTATTATTATTATTATTATTATTATTATTATTATTATATATATATATATATAGACTTATTTTGTAACTAATATATTTTTATATTTACAATATAACTCTTAGGTATGTATGTGAATTACCGATAGCGTTAGCAGAACATCAAGCATAAGATCTACACATCGCGAACCTACAGCAAATCCTCTCCTCTACAACAAATCGTCGCCGACACCAAACTCTCTCCTCTACAGCAAATCGCCGCTGACAAGACCAACAACCTCGTACCACTACCTCTCTCAACCACCAACGACATTGCCATGACTCCGATGACGACGCATCCAGTACCCTCGCTACAACCACTTCCTCTCCACTCCTCGCAACTGCCAACGCCTCCACTGCTTCCGACTATTTATTTACTAATATGCCACTGCACTTTTTTTAAAAAACAATACACTACCATTCTTTTAAAAAGGTAGCGAAAAGTCAGTCCCCTATGTTTTTTTTTTTTTTTTTTTTTTTTTTGTACTAGTGTAAAATTTAGACGTTTTCATCGCGCATACTCTAGAGATTGGTAAATGGAATATATTGTGAGATTTTATGAACTTATTTCGAGTTGTTGACCCATTGAACATAAATAGAACTTTCGCCGGATGCTCTGCTATGTTAGTTTGCTTTGTTTTTTATAATTGTGTTCAACACCGATCCCAAACTATTAAAGTACCATCTTGCCCACACGAGTTTAGCTCAATGTTTTAATAAGCAGTATTTAGGAGAAGACGAAAAGTGTCATCTTGCCTACATGGGTTTAGCTCAAGTTTTAGTAGGCAGTATTAGAAGAAGAAAAAAAGTACCATCTTTAATTAATTGACGTGTATTCTTGTATATATTAATTATCATTTCTCTTAATGTGGTTATTAGTGCCTAGTATTGTTTAGCTAACTACCTAATCTATGAGTCAAAAATACTTTGTAAACTCTATAAAGCTTTTTTTTAAAGGAAAAATGACATTTTTAGTCATTGCTTATGCATAAATAGTTGTGTTAGTCTATAATTATTCAATTTGTGCACAAGTCAGATTCCTAGTTATCACTTATACTAGCTTATTGTTTTATCTTCACCAAATAGAATCTATGAATTCCAGATAGCAACTAGCTTTAAAAAAAAAAAAAAAAATCGTTAATGGGCGTTTGATTGGAATTAAGGAAAGAATTAAGGGGGAGAGGGGGTAATTGTAATTCAGTGAAAAAAAGAATAAGATGAGAATTCAAATTTCATTGTTTGATATGTAAGAATAAAATTATTAGAAATTGAAAGGTATGAATTGAATAAAGACAAAAACGCTCTTGTATAATAATATTAATTATTATTTTTTTTATTACAAAGGTAGGGGAATACCCACTTATACAACATACACCTACACCAAGGCTCAAACTTTAAACATCCCATATAAGGGAGCAATCGGATACCAGTGAACCACAAGCCACTTAATTTTATTATTATTATTATATGTAAAACCATAATTTATTGTTGAATTTCAGTTTCACGTGGAATTGCCATTCCTGCAATTCCATTATTACAGAAAATTCAATTCACTCCAATTAAATAATAAAATTTTTATTCCATGAAATTTAATAAGAATGAAATTACCTTACAAACACTCAAATTTATATCGGCATTTCCTTGCACACTTGCTAAACAGCTAAAATGATTTGACTTTCTTAATTATGCTTCGAGTTAATGGATGCCTGAATTGACAACTTTAATTATATAAAAATGATAATTGAGGTCAAATATAAAAATGTTAAACCATTAGAGACCAAAATAACCAATGAACTACTCCTATGTTATAATTAAATTAAAGGATTAAAATTGTTATTCTTGCTTCTTCTTTTTTTAAATCAAGATTAAGATAAAAAGTACAATTTATCATACGATTTCCCAAATATATTTTTTAAGAAAAAGAATTATATAAGGTCGTAAGTAGATAGTATTGGTAAACGAATTTGGATGTCCTTACACGTAGGGAATCTAGCTGCGTGTATTTCCAATTTTCCATACACAATCAATAGGAAATCTTTTGTTGCTCCATTATCCTCGAAAGGTTGAATACCCAATCCCAAGAACTCCTTATGCCCCGAGTGCCCCCGACCCAACAAAAGATTCTGTGCATTATGAACATGAATTTTGTGCATTATATAGCTGAGGACACATAAACACTTAACATAATACACAAAATTTATGTTCATTATATCGTGTTTATGTGTACGTGTATTATAAACATGAATTCTGTACCTTATAAAGTTAAATTCTGTTTATTAGACCAGGGTCCACAGTGCACTGTAGATCATGGTCCACGAAGAGACTAGACCTTTGTTTATTACGCACAAGGAGTCTCCTTTAGTTTGTAAGGTTACTCTCACATTGTTGCTAGTGAAACTCAATCCTGAATTATTATTATAAATTTCACCTTTGTAACCAAGTGAGCTGCTCATGAGGGCAATTAATAGGAAATCTTTATAGTGAGCATTTCTTTGGTAGGGTGTTTTCGTCATTTTAACAAAGCCGACCCATAACACAATGATGGACGGCAGCCCAATTACGTCAAAGTCCTCATGTGCGGCCACAGTCCAGTCGGTGGCGACCTATTGAGTCCATAATCATTACCCAATCCTATTACCTCCCACCTGTCTCTTCTCAACTTAAAACAATAATAAAAGTGTTTTATTAATCTTTTTAATTTGAATCAATTTGTTACAAGTAATTTAGCCAATTTATTTTCTTATAATTTTGGACTAGTTAAAATTATAAGGAGAAATATTTTCATTATATACCATCCGAAAGTGAGAATCTTTCTCATCATTTAAAAAAATGTAAAATCGTGACAAATAAAGTAAATTGTCGAATACCCTTAATTATTTACAAGTTCCTCAAAGTCACGTTTCAATTGCCAACAGAGCAGAACTATTATTTATCTTTGAATTGATTAATTAGTCAAGTTACATCCGAAATTTAGGCCATATATAATTATTAATTTCCTATATACCAAGTAAAACAAAACGCAGCTTTTTAAAGTCCACTCAAGAAAACCCTATTAACTTTCTGACTTAGAAATCAAGAGAATAATTGAGTGGCTTCTTTCTTGGTTATAATTCACGAAGTACAATCATTGCAATTATAAGGTTTCTAATATCAACGTCGTACAAAGCTGCGTGAATAACAATGAAGAAACAAATGTATCTATTTGTTACTGTTTTTGGTTTGATGGCATCTATCAATTCTTCCCATTTAACCCTAAAATGAGCAGGCAGTATGCTTCTCCATCTATTGTTTGTTACCAAAATTATATTATTCATAACATACATGAGTTTTTCGTGGTACGATATTATCTCCGTTACCTCATGATTTTTTTATTCTCAACCTATAGAAAACACAAAAAGTCAATACCGTCTCTACTAAGGTACTTGTCTATTAAAGCACAAAGAGTCAATATACTTTCTTAACCGATTTAATCATAAAGAGTCAATGTAGCCCACACTTGGACTTAAACCATGATCTCCCATTTCAGATATATAGTCACTTAATGTCATTTGACCACAAGGTCATTGACACGGTATACCATTTGATTTTTAATAATATGCTAAAGAAAAGTGAAAATAATGTCGAAAACATTATGCCACTTATGCCTTGACTAAGCAACGCATGTGCAACAACAATGGCTAAGAGTCCAATGATAAAGAGCCACAATCCCATGAGGGTAAGCTAACCCCAAAAGCATGTCTTTAGATAACAACTATAGGAGCTTTTGTTTGACTTTGTTGGGTGACAACTTGAAAGGCGAAACCTAGCATTCTGTTACCGAAACACGATAGTGACTGTGATGCAAATATAAAGAAATAAAGTTACACCTTTGCTACTATGATAATTGTAGGTTTTTGTGTAGTGGTAAGCGCACAATTGGTATTATAACAGGTTGAAAGTATAATAAAATAAAAGTGTGCATTTACTACTAGCGCAACTAATACTATTAGTTAAGTAAATATTTTTATTATATATATTGTGTATTATCTGCATTGTTACTAATCAAATATACCATACTTAATTGTACCTAATATTGTTGACTATCTAAACCATTAGAAAACACTACACGAAAAATAAATGCTTACTAAGAATCTATATATAGAGATTAAGAAAATAAATATCGTAGCACAAATTCTTACCCCATGTTAAGAAAATAAGAAATGGAGGGAGCCATGAGGCAATAGGAATGAAGTCTATCTAGCATTACTTGAGAGATTATTATTACAATAATGTTATTCATGTCTAAACTTTAATATAAGAATAAACTTAAATCATCATCTAATATGACTCCTTATGTGTTCATCAACTAAACTACTCATTATTTATGAGTTTGTAACAAGTTTAAAGCATATAAGATAGGTATAAATTCTTCATCGTTATTAACAATACAAGTAGAATATTACAAAATATTAATATACATACTAATGAATTAATAATTAGGGTAATACACATGTTTCATTGTTCCCAACCGAACATTTGGGATGATATAAATAATGGTAACTCAGTTGAACACTTGTGCATGTAAGATCGATTTGATCTCGGATCATTGTTCACAAACGTCGTCCCTATGACCAATTGAGTTATCCACATGCGGACAGTACACATATTTTTATGGCCGGTGACAACCTTGAACATAGAATTTAATGTTGGAACCTGCAGATGAAGCGATTTACCTCGTCATGTGGTTCTTTGAGTAGGAATTCTGAGGACTTATGATTGGTTTATAGTAAAGTGGGATATATAGATATGTAATGTATCAAAAAGAAAAGAATTTTAAGGTTGTGTTCGTTAGTTGTACACGTGGACACCGGCACCTCCATGATTAGGGCCGGTGAAGAGTTAACTGTTAATCCAGGTATATTAACATTGGACCATGTCCGTACAATCTTTTCTGCATGGACCTTTTGTCTATGGTGACTGATTGGTTCGATCTTTTTAGCTCCCGCAACTAATAATTTTCCGGGCGGTGGCTCTGATCGGACAGTTGGAGCTGACGAAGCCGCTGACGAGATCGAGATATGTCCGGAGGTCGTGGCAGGCGGCGATGCTAATGCCGCTGTGGGACGGGGAGTCCCGGCTGCTCAGCCGGAGCTCGCAGCCGACGTCGGCGTAAACCCATTGCGTGTCCTCTACCAGCTTCTGAAACCAGCCGGAAATGTTCGCCATGTAGCGAGCCTCAATGTTGTTAATTCTTACGTTGTTGTCAGTGTCGGTGTCGTCGTTGTCGATGACGAAACCGGGGACTTTGGTTATGGGGTCGTCGGAGTTTACTATTCTCAGGACTTTGGTTCCTTGTCTCTCCAAATGGCACCGGAAACTTGGGTTTCCGACACGGGGGCCGCCGAACGACATGACGGTTACGTGGGGTAGGTTTTGGAATGTCTGTTTGATGTCGTACGCTGTTAGGATGGCGAGGGCGGCGCCGAGGGAATGGCCGGAGATGGTGATGCTTAGAGGCTCGTCGCCGTAAACCTTGAGGATTCTTGAAATTTCGTCTCTTATGGAGCTCTGTAAGCTCTGAGAAGATCCCACACTTGACGTGTATAAACTGAGAAACCCACTCTCCACCATCGGCCCGCACTCATAATCGCCGCCGCCGCCGACGGCGGCGGCGGCGGCCGGGAGGGGAGTGAGGGTGGCTCTCAGATTCTCCAGCCATTCCAAGCAAGTCGCCGTGCCGCGTAACGCAATCACCACGTCACGGCGGCCAAGCCGCTCGATCTCCCTCTTATCTTGACAAACCGCCACGAAACCTATCCAGCTCGACTGCACGGACATCCATTCCGGCGTCTTTTCCGCCCAGCGCGGCAGCTGAATCCCGCTGGTGGCGCTGAGATTCCTGGAAACCCGGTACCCGGTAGCGGGGAACCCGGCCCGGCTCAGAAGCTTGGCCTTGGAGTGGCGGCAATGGGAGTACCCCGGCGACGCCGGATCAAACTCGTACGACCTATACGCCGCCTCCACGAAGCTCCCGTACCTTATAATCTCTTCCCGCAAAGTATCGTCTAGAGGATCAAGCAGCCCTTCCCAGTTCTTGATCCCCTGATAATCCATCCACCGCTGGCTCAAACTCAGGCCGCCGCCGTCGTCGGAGCTCGAACTCCGGCGGTTCATTATTGGAACTTGGATTTGCATGCTGAGGATTGTTCTAGAACTTAGTGGCGGTCGAGTTGTGACGCACCTGTTGTGTAGTGGTGGGAGGGTAGTGGGTGGTTTTAAGGTGCATGGCCGTACAGGTTTCATGGAAAACTTCATGATATATATGTTGAAGGATTATATTGATGGATGGATTAAGAAATTTTGCAGTTTCTATTTACAGGATCGGATGTATGTATGCATCGAGAGAGGGTGAAATAATATCTCATGCACTGGCTTGTTGCTTGTTGGAGCTGCTTCAGTTCACCTTTATATAGTGGAGAAAAAGTTCTGAAAAAGGGAACAGTATTCACTTTATGAGTGTGTACAAACAGGAAAACAACTGTATACATTATACTAATTCATATACTCCGTGTATGTATATATATATATATATATATATATATATATATAGAAATCGGTTCTCGTGCGGGTGAACGTCTGAGTTGCGGTTGTGCGGTTTAATCTGAGCCATTCATCTTGCTTAAATCAACCTCCAAGACTACTAAAATTAAAAAAAAAATGCGGTGACAATTTTGTAATTTTTGCATCTAGGTCAAAATTAAGGTGAGTGGTTTTGTGATTAATGTGCATGAATTTTGTATATAAAGTGCGTGAGTCTTGTGCGTAAGGTGTGTGAGTTTTGTACTTAAGGGCGTGGGCTTGTTAGTTGTTAAAACTTAAAGTGTGGGCTTTTGTGCTTAAGGTGCGTGAGATTTGTTCTTAAAGTGAGTGAAGTTTGTATTTAATGTGGGTGGGGTTAGTAATTAATGTTAGTAGTTGTTGAAACTTAAAGTCTGTGAGTTAATACTTAAAGTTCGTCAGTTTAATGCTTAATGTGCGTGAGGTTTGTGCTTAATGTGCGTGAATTTTGTACTTAATGTGCGTGAGTTTGTGTTTAACGTGAGATATTTTAAAATCTTAAGTGTGGGAGTTTTGTGCTCAATGTGCTTTGTTCTGTGCTTAATGTGCGTGGTTTTTGTACTTAAGGTGAGTGATTTGTGTTCTTAAAGTGTTTTGTTTATGGACTTAAGGAACGTGGTGATTTGTGTATTTGAGGTGCGCCATGTTAATGCTTAAGGTGCGTCCAATCGCACGGGAGGCATCAACCGCACCTGAACCCATCCATCCATATATATATATATATATATATATATATATATATATATATATATATATATATGCTTAGGCTTAGGCTCTGGAGCGAAGAAAGTTTCAGGTGTGAAAGTGACTAAGTGAGGAGAAATCTGAATCTTAGCTTTGATCTGTCCATAACAACGGCTCTAAAACAAAACAAAAAAATTAGTGCTTCTAATCTACACGACGTCATCTTCTCCAATAAACCATCTATGATCTACTGCCTTTGCATTCTGTTCAAATCATGGAAGGCGTAAAATTGTGGCACAATAATGTACACTAAAAAGCACAACAATCTGCTCTTGAAGGCTCAATAATGTGCTCTGCAAGACACAAAATTGTGCCCTGGAAGGGACGAAATGTTTATTAGTCTTCATGAGATTATTGAAGCTGTTTCTTAAAATCGTTTCCATCCCTCTTTCACGGGACTTAGCAACAGATTCGTTGAGCCTGTTAAACGAGTATGTTAACAATGTGCACTAGAAGACACAACAATATACATTACAAGTCACAACAATGTGCACTCAAAGGCAAAAATAATGCACCCAAAGACAAAAATATACACTTAGCAACGGGTTTGTTGAGCCTGTTGACCCAGCTTGTTAAAAATGTGCACTGGAAGACACACTAATTTACAGTACAAGGCACAACAATGTGCACTCAAAGGCAAAAACCAATGTACCAAAAGACCAAAAATATGCACTTACAAAAATTACCAAATTGCCACCGGTGTATTTTTAAAATTTTTCTTTATTCTGGATAGTTGATTTGGATTTAATCAATGAATGAGATTTAATCCTATTTTTTTTTACCTGGGTCTCCTTCATATCTCATCCTTATAATCACTTATTCAAACTAATTAATTAAATTCTTAATATATACTACTAATATTATCTTATAGACAATTAATCAAATAAAATATTATAATCTCACCTTACTTCTCTTGCGATCAATCAAATTGCCACAACAAAGTGGCATGGGTTAGTCAAATTTCCACCAACCATGGTTAAATATATTTTATAATTTACAAATCATCAAGTGGTCTAAAATGATTAACAATCATCAAGTGTTTTAGCCCGACCAACTAGCCAAATTTTCAAACCATTGGTGTTAATGGTTGCTGTTACCAGACACTTTCAATTGGTGGTCGAAAATAACAACAAATTTTTTTTCAAATTTTATCTCTAAATTAGTCTAGAAAGATCACTCCAAGCTAGAAACCCTAAAATTTCTGATTACTTTATATTCAAAGAAATACAGAATTTTCTAATCGTGTCATGATTTTTTTCTATTTTGAACAACATTGTTGTTCAGTTGTTTTCTTCTCAATATATATGTAGTCCGCGGTATATAATGTAAATTGTAATTATAAGACGGAGAATATATATATAATGGGAATGAATATTTGGGGAGTGGGGCAAAGTTAGGTATAAATAAACAAATAACAAGGTTGGTGATGACAAATGTAAGGTAAGGAGTCAAAGCGAAAGAAAAATGAAAAATGAAAAGGCTGCAGGCCTGGCCTCCTTGGTCCAGAATATGTTTGAAACGGTGGCGCAATGTGGTCGGAAAGCTTTGACTGACGGCCGAAATATGCATGCTGAAAACGACGGCGGCGGTCGTGTCACTTGTGTGGTGATATGCTAAGCTACTTTCCGACGACGACTCCATGCCGCTCGGGAGACGACAGCCGCACTCCCCCTCAATTCAAGCACCGCATCATTATTTTATGTTAAAATTAAATTAAATCATGTGTATTTAATTTTTTTTTTTTTAAATTCTCTATATCGACTAATGATCTTTTTTACATCAGGGGAACGGGTGCACCCTAATCATAGTTGAGTAGATATCATAACTTAAGAAAATTAATGGAGACGTCCTCTAATAATAATACATCTATCAAAGACTTTAAGAATTTTGATTTATATATATACCGCAATCTCCATATCTTTTTATACTGTCACGAGTGAGTCTAGCCATAGCATATCTATAGCAACTAATAATCTTTGATACAATATGGTGTGTGCGTGCGTTTGCGTGCATGCTTGCATTAAACAATCTTGAATGCGACGTTTTATTATAATATGGAAAGAATGAGATATTTTTAAAATCTAATGAATTAAAGTGTTTACTAGGACTCACATTTTTTTTTCCCTTTTGTCATTCTCCACATGCATTTCCACTCTTCAAGAGTGGGGCAACTAGAAAAACAAACAAACAAACAAATTAAAAAAGAAACAAAATCAATTCAAACTTGAATCAAACTCCATTTTAATATATATATATATATATATATATATATTTATATATATTAAAAATTTCATTCACAAATAATACTGCATGAGAATATCTATCTTTATTATTTTATTTATTCATAGAATAGTATTCCAATCCTTTTTTTTTAACAAGAAAAAATTGTCATTACAACTTGAGAGTGTGCACGAGCTGAGGCTAAATCCATATAAATATGAGTTGAAATTTATAATGAAAAACTACACTAAATATGAAATTTTTTGACATACGATCCCCGTATCTTAATTCTTATCACTATGGGACTAATATAAATTCCGCTCTTGTCGTGGTCAACTGCGAGTGAAGTTTGACTCTAGAGTAAGTATATTTTTTTGTGTCCATATACATATATATAACTTTGCATGGACCCAACAAAGAAGCAGAACCTAGCTCTTTACTTAGATGCATGGGCATGCATGAGGAATTTCCATAGCCAAATAAAGAATTGGATGGTATCGGAAACAAGTAGAAAGCATGCCTTGTTTGGTGGGACTTGCTATATATAAAGCTCATCATCCATATTCATATCCATACAATTCAAACAGCTAGCAAGAACATACGAGAAGATCGATCGAATTGAAACAACGTTGAACACGAAGTATACATGTCTCAACTGTTGCCTTATTGCCGCATGTGTTTTTTTTGGTGATCAATTAACGTGGTTTCCACAATGGGTTTGATGACACAAAACTAGGTTTTTGGTCACACCCCAAAGTATGATCCGTCACGTCCCCATGATACATATTGTTCTCTGACGACTTGGAAAGCTGAGTTTAGTTGTTTAGCATCCTGTCATCGAAACGTGACGACTATGCAAGTATAATAAATTAAAATAAATATGCATATTCATTACTAATTATAATTTTTGGTATAGTATTAGTAAGCGCTTAATTTTGACAATTGGTATCAGAGTAGGTCTGCTAGTAAGCACTCGATCCTAACACATATATGTGATCCAATTTACCATTTCAAGACTTAGTTTTTTCAACATGAAATAGGTGTTGTTTTTCCTCTTTGGTAGGGAGCTAGCTTCCCTTTCGATGTGTGCTTGTTTGGTAATTTTCATGCAATTGAAACAAAGGGCATGTTGCATGTCTAGGTTGTTGGTCGTGTAAATGTTTTGTGTTGAATGGCTGTAAATTAAAGTAACATCATCATCATGATGTGTAGTTTGAGAGCTTGCATCCATATAGCATCAACTAATCCAATGCAAATCCATCACATTAATGCATGCACTCATACATTTATATATGCCACATTCACATACACCCACAACTATACATGTGTCTACGTGTTTTTAAACATATAAACAAATATATCCTATTATAATAATGAAAAACTCTTATTACCCCCCCCCCCCCCAAATTTTTTTCCCTCCTAAATTTCCTCAATGACATTCCTTGTAATTATTGGGTGCCATATATTAAGGAGTTCTCGTTTGAACGCCCATATATATGTGTGTGTAAAATTCATTATTAAAAATGTTAATGTAAGGCAATAGAACATTATGACACACTTACGCATTGAAAAGATGTCGACACTATAACAATGTTGCGATCAACCTTGCAAATCCAAAAATTTAAAAAATAGTCACTGTTGCAAAATTCATTTATCATGTATGTAATTAAAATACATATTGTGCATCCTCTAAATATATTAAAATTAATATAAATTTATAATTTATTTTATTTTCTAGACTCAATCAGCTTGGATTAAATGAAAAATCAGCATTAACCTTTGACAACAAAAACACTTGATATATAGGCCGGAGAAGATTTATGTACAAAGTGACAAA